TGTGTGTGTGTGTGTGTGTGTGTGTGTGTGTGTGTGTGTGTGTGTGTGTCTGCACGTGCATCTGTGTGTGCGTGTGTTGGGAAGGAATCGGAAAAGCACCCTTCTCTCAGAAACATGCTGCTGAGAATCAGGTAGCTGGCTTTCGTACAGACCACAAGCTCCATCAGCAACGGTCCCCACCTGCTCAGAAACATATACACACGGGCTTTTAGAAAGTGCTGGCGGCGGCAGCGAGCACTGAGCTCCCGCATCAGGCCTCCTGAGTTCCTCACCATGTGAACCCTTGAGTGAATTCATTAAGCTCCCAGCCGTCCTATCCGATCGATCATGCACAAAGTAGGGGTGGTCGGTCTGAGAAGACACCTTAGCAACAAGGAGCACAGGGTGCTCTGAGCCTGGAAGCTGTGTAAAAAGCAGCCATGGTGGCTTGTGCTTGTAACCCCAACACTGGGGAGGGAGAGACAGGTAGACCTTGGGGCTCACTGGCCAGCCAGCCTAGCCTACTTACTGAGTGCCAAGCTGATGAAAGACTGTGCCAGGGGGGAGCGAAGTAGATCACACCTGCACAACACCAAGGCTGTCCTCTGTCCTCTGCGTGCAAGCACATACATGTGCGCACGCGCCCACATACAAATGAATGCGGCTGAAGGATCTGCCTGTCTCACTGAGCTGTGGAAAGTTCTAAAGAAGACAAGGCAGGGACTTGTCCCTGGCACGCAGCAAGTACTCAAAAAATACTGGTGTTTTTAACAAATGGGAATGTAGTTGGGACACTGAGAAGGGGCGTGAATATTACAGCCAGGGTAAAGTGGAGAGCTTTGAGGCGGAACCGGACCTGGTGCTGCGCTGAAAGCCAGGGTGTCTGCCACAGGTGTGCAGCAGAATGAATGGTGAGCTCTGGACTTCCTGAGGCTAGGAGGCAATACCAGGTGCCTGCCTGCTTTCTAGCACAGTGCTGAGCACAGCGGACACACCCTGATCTCAGGACCACCAGCCACTCCTGTCTCCCAGTGGCCCCTGCCTGCCAGTTTGTGCGTTCTAGAGTGCTTGCAGTGGGTGAAGATTCCATGTGGAGTCTCAGGGGCTGCTCAGTTGAGGTCTCCTGGCTCAGACTGTCGGGTCTGAGCTTTTGAGTCTTAACTTTGGGGTCTTTGACTCCATCCTTCCATTTCATCCCCTGACTTCTTGAGTTCATGTCCCTTGTATATGCATCTCTGATGAACCACAGAGCCACAGTCTGCCATGAGCCATGCAGGGCTCGAGCAGCCACCAATACACAGCAGGTAACACCTGGAATGACGTGCCCTTGCATTGCCCAACCTAGGACAAGATACCCAGACGAAGCCCTGAAAAACATTCCAACTCAAGCCCACTGCTAGAAAAGAAGCCCCAGAATGTGAAATAATCTCCATTCATCCCCAGGATGAGGCTACAGTTCTCTAATCACAGGGCATCCCTGTGTCTGGGAACTCAGCCGTGGCTTATGGTAGCTCCCTCTACCTTGAAGTACCTAAGTCTATTAAAAAGATTATATTGATTTGGAATCTATCTCACCAGAGTGCCCTGTCTCTACCCTCATCCTAATCCTATTTAATCCCTGGGAACCACGGGGATTTATTCATTCAAAGGGTATCTGCCTGGCATATCTGTAACCACGTGTGCATCTCTTCATACCATGTGCCAGCCTCTGGGCCCTAGGAGAGCTACTGCGGAGAGATGAAAGATAAGCCACTTAAACTTACTATGAATTGATCGAGCTAATTGTTCTCCTGAAAAAAAAGACCTGAAATCCCTTCTGAGGCCGTTTTTCTAGTAGGGGCAGGCAGTGTGGATGCAAGGAGGAGCATCCGGAATTAGGTAACGTTTAACCCTACAAACCCTTGAAAATCGATCAACACTACTGAAAATACCTAGACTCTAGGACAAAGAACACAAAAGCAAGTCTGCAGGAAGAGATGCAATTGCGCAATAACGGAGAAGCTTTGTCTTAACAGGCAATCAAAAATGTACAGTGGGCTGTGGAGGTATCTCCGTGGCTCGGGAAGCACAGGGAAGGATGGGAGGATGAAGATGGCTCGGAGAGTGAAGGGGAGCACAGGGAGGATGGGGAGACCACTGCCGAGAAGACGCTTACCAATCAGCTCACTACAGAGACACCAGCACTTCACCAATCACAATAGCCCAAGGATCAGGCTAGGTGTCCTGCTATGGTTGAATTAATATGTGGCATCTATTAATATAGACGCAAAGGGCTTTGCTTTCAACCATAGAGAAGACCAAAACATCCTGCCCCTAGAGGCAGGGCCGGCGTGGCTGCTGGCTCACCCATGCATCAGAAGGTGTTGGAGAGGAAAGAGGCTACGCCTATGCTCAGTGTTCTGTAAGAACGTCGAGCCTGAGATGACCACCAGGCAGGCACTCCACAGGCCCTGGCGGCTCCCACGACAAGGAGCAAGCCGGAGACTTGAAGAACAATGCCTGGGACCATGGCCTCGGGCAGGACTGAGCCTGAGACAGACGACCCTCACCATTGCACAGCGCCGCTTGGGCAGGCCAGGGGAGAAGCAAGCCCCAGATGACCACCAGACTGGTGCCCTGGGGCCTGGACAAGGAGCTTGCCTGAGATGACCACCAGCCTGGTACTGCACAGTCCTTGGGAGCAGATTATTCCCAAGATGACCCTTGCTCGGTGCCATAATATGTGAGCAGGGCAGAGCACTGCTGAGAGAGAACCTTCAGAGAGAAAAGCAAGTAAGTGGGGGAGGGGGAGACAGGAGTATGTGGCACAATGAAGAGAGGCAGGACTGGAGACTAGAGGGTAGTGAGGACCAGCCTGATGAGAGTAGCCGGTGATGGGACCACGGTGGAGTCCTAGCCTGTGCTACCACCACGGGCCACATCTGGGTCCATAGCCTTACAGTAGCAGGGGTCTGTTACCGCCAAAGGCTAGACAGACATCCCTAGCCTGGACTACCTCCCAGGGACAGAACTGGCCCCACCCGTCACCTGGGCATCATGGGAGAGTTAGCCCTGGGTACGTGAGAGCTGGAGAGCTGACCCCACCCCTAGCCAGCTTCAGTAGTGGGGAGAGCAGGCCCTGCACATTGTGGGAGTTTGGGTGAGCCTGCCCCCCGGACAGAAGCATGAGCACGCTGGTCCCAGCACTTGTCTTGGCATGGACAAGGGAGAGAGCCCCCCTATCCCTCACCACCTGCGGCAGACAGGAAACCTGGCCGTGGGGTCGTGAGAGCAGAAAAGCTGGCCCTGTGCCTCACAAGCTGCAGCACTGGAGAGATCAGACCCTGCACCAATCCCGGAAAGCAGACTGAGCTAGCCTTGGATGCAGGGATTGTCAGTGAGCCATCCCAAGAGTGTGAAAGCAGAACAGCCAGCAGGATGAGCAGCGCAGATACCTCAGGCCCAGATCCAGGCCTTTGAGTTAGCCCACCCCAACATCTACCCCATCGATGACTGCTGGAGCACGTGAAAGGGCTGGTCCTATAGGTCCAAAACTACAGGATCTCCATGACACAGGGCAACAACAGGATATCTGAGAGGAGTCCCAGTGAGGTCCCAGTATTGATAGAGTAGCAGAAGCCAGAGGCTTCTTACCAGACCAATGAGTTATCGCAGTGGACATGCACAAGCAAAGAAGTGTGGACAGAGGGGGACGCTGTGACACACACCGTGACACAGTACAGTTTCTACAATGAGATTTGTTACCTCTGTTGGGGGAAAATTGCAAGGACGGAGAGAGAGTACAAAGGGAGGTGGAAATGAATGGGATTTGTGTATGACGATGTGAAACTCACAATGAAGCAATAAAAAGTTTTTTTTTAAAAAAAAAAGAACAAAATAACATCAGCTACAACAAAGTGGATGGAGCTGCAGATAAACAAGTTAAGGGAAATAAGCCAGGCTCGGGAGCACAAACATTTCCTGTATTCTCTCGCATGTGTAGAATCTAGTTAAAATAAATAAATAAATAAATAAAGACATGAAAGGAGGGTAGCTCAGTGACAGAATGCCTGCCTAGCATGCACGAGGCCCTGGGTTCAAGCCTCTGCACCATCAAAATGGGGGAAAGGGAAGGAGGCAAGGAGGGAGGAGGAAGGCGAGTAAGAGGAAGAAGAGGAGGTGGTAGGAGACTGTCAAAGGGAAGGGTACCAGATAAAGGGAGAAGGGGATGAGAGCAAGTAATGGAGGGTAGATCAATGTGATCAAAGTAAATTACATGCATATCTCTGTGTGTGTGTGTGTGTGTGTACATATATGTGTGCATATACATGCACTCAGAACTGTAATTACTGGACGTGGGCGGGATGAGAAGACACATATATTTGCTTCCTTTTTAACTTGTCATTATTTTCAGGCACCAAAAGCTAGATTTGATTACAGCATCCTCATCCACGTGCTGTTATGCTTTGTTCTCATCACTCCTCTGCCCCATATGTTCCCTTCTTTATCCGCTTTTTAAATCCTTGATATTAGGGGTTTTTTATGTTTATGGATGTTTTGCTTGCATGTATGTCTGTGCGCTATGCTTGTGTCATGCCCATGGAGGCAAGAAGAGGGTGTCAGATCCCCTAGAACTGGAGTAACAGGCAGGTGTAAGCTGCCGTATCTGTGCTGAGAACCAAACCGAGGCCTCTGCATGAGCAGCCAGGGCTGTCTCTGCAGCCCCGCCTTAATTCTTTCCTGTATCTACATATATATCCAAATTTCCTTAAATGATCATATCTGTTTGTCTGTCTCTTACTTGCTCTTGCTCTCACAGTTTTACTATGAAAAAAAAAAAACGAAGAAGAAGAAGAAGAAAAGAAAAAAGAAAGAAAACAGTAAAACAGAAATTTTTCGGTCACCTCTGCACCTTCTGTAACCAGCTGGGTCCCCAGCCACCTCCTTGGTGAAGAAAAGACAACTAGACCTAACCAGCTTCCCAGGACTGCCCCAGAAATAAAGCAAGAAAATGGCAGGTGATGAACCTGGAAAATTGTAAAGCCCTGTACAGACGTTAGCTGTTTTCGACATTATAACTCAAAACTAATTCCAGCCATCCTGGAGAAGAGAATCAGAGTCCCTAAGAAGGGAGCTCGGGCTCTGACATGGGAACTCAGAACATACAAGCATGAGCTAAGAATAGAAAGCTGGAGTCCGTAAGAGTCCTGAAGGGATATTCTCTCAGCAAGCCTGGGGAATGCTTAACAAGAAGCCAAACAAGGGGGGAAATAAACCTTACACGGTAACCAGGTGTTAACAGTGCTCTCTGCCTCACAAGCCACACAGGAGGCTCTGTCTTCATTTTGTTTTAAAAGAAAAGTCTAGCCAGGCACAATGGCTTACATCTGCAACCCCAGCACTTGGGAAACCGAGACAAGGAAGTCATAGGTTCACAGGCAGGCCTCGAGGGTAAAGTGCTTGCTACACAAGCTTGAGAAATGGGATTCAATCCCTAGAACCGGGGTGAAAATGATGGGTGTGGTGGTGCGAGCTTATCACCTCAGTGCTGGGGAGGAGACAGACAGGTCCCTGGTGTTTGACATTGGTCAACCTCAGTGAAATAAGGAAGGCCAGCAAGGGACTCTTGTCTCAAAAAAATCATGGTGGGAGTAGGTGGAAAGATTGCTCAGTGGGTAAAGTGCTTGCTGTTTAAGGATGAGTTAAGATCCCCAGAATGCATGTAAAAAAAAAAAAAAAATCAAGCAGTAGGGAATAGGAACAGGCCGATACCGGACATGGACACACACACACAGTTCAAGGCCACAAGCAAGAAACACTTTCCACTTGGATTCTAACCTAGGCTTTCAGTGACTACCTTGTGCCTAGAAAATAAGGAGCAGGGATGTTTATTCCAAGTCCTAGCTGACGGCTAGATGGATGAGACTAACTCAGCCAAGCTCAACAGCAAGGTCAGATCAAGATGGCAGCCAAGATCAGTCTAGGGGTGCGCAGCTCAAAGGCACCTGTTCTCAGAGGACTGGCTGAGTGTGGACAGCTCTCATGATTAGTGAGCAAAAAGAAAAAATACATCTAGAAGGGTAAGTGACGGCCAACATGTGGGCACAAAGAATGGGCGCAAAAAAAAAAAATGGCCATGGAGTTCTTGCACAAATGGGAAGGAGGGGCTGAGGGTGAGAGCATTTGTTCTAGCATGCAGGCAGGCAGAGGGAGGAGAAGCTGTAGGGGGGCCCAAGCAGCCCTTTCCAGAAGTGTGCACGAGAAAGCAAGAAGAGCTAAGTAAGCTGCTGCCAGCAGCACGATGCATCCGAAGCCAGTCTGGCCACTTGCTCTGCACACACTCTTTATGTACGCAGGGCGAGCTACAGCTTCCAAAAAGCATGCCCAACAGTAACGATCTGAGTCCCTTTCTCCTCTGTGGGAGCCCGTCACCCCATATGCACCGCTTTGGTCTGGTCGGGGGTTACCTGACAAAACACTTCAAACTGGATGATTCCTAAATATCCAAAATGCCCTTGCTTGTGCTTCAGGATGCTGTGAGGATCAAAATCAAGATGCCTGATGATTCGGCGTCGGATGAGGGTCTGTTACATATGTGTGTGTGTGTTATGTGTATGTGTATATGTGTGCATATATACATATATATATACATGTATATACATATATACATGTATATACGTATATACATGTATATACATATATATATATAATTGCTTGTGCATGATATGGGAGGAGGAATATGCTCAGGCACATGTGTGCGGCTGGTTCTCTCCCTCCAGCCTTAAGTGTGGTTTGGGAGATTAAATTCAGATACAATGCTCAGAGCACCGCTAGATCGACATCTGTCCACCCAGACTACTAATTATAAAAAAAAAAAAAAGCTTTATTTACCTGTTTGGCCCTCTTTGCACTGGCACTTGTTACTCGAAGCTGAGAGCACCCTTGCCCAGTCATCTCCCTTGGCACACCATGAGTCCGCTGACATCAGATACCACGTCTTCTCCACCTTAGCTTGCTCCGTAGCAACCGACACCAGTCTTAGACTGTAACCACGCTTAGTAAACACTGCTGGAACAGGGGGTTCCCTGACCCCGTGAGATATTTACGGAAGCAATCACTACCTGTGCATTAGATGAAATATTAATGAGCAAACGTTAGTTTTCTAGACATGACTGGCAAACTAGATGTAAATGAAGCCCACTGACCAGATGGCACCCACCCAAGAGCTCCAAAAAGTGAAACTGCAGAAATGGTGGCCAAAAATAAATAAATAGATAGATAGATAGATAGATAGATAGATAGATAGATAGATAGATAGATA